TTGTAAAGGTCTTTTGCTACTGAGTTTCAGAATAGTTTCGGATTGTTTTTCTTTATAATCCTATGTCGAATTTGATATACAAGTTCATTCTATTTGCCATATTTGGCCAGTGAACTGGGATCATGCTTTAGAATAGGAGCTGGTTTCAAATAACTGGTTTTAGCTTTAAATGTTAATCTGGCTGGTTACTGGAAAACTGCTGGAAGTTGGCACCTGTCTAAGGCAGAAACCTGCCAGAGAAGGAAAACTCAAAATATTTTCCACCAAAACATACAAGAGGGAAGGGAGAAAATGAGATAGATGGTGACTAACCAGGTGCACCACACCATCCCTCTACAACAAAGTCCCAAGAAACCAAGTGACACAGACGTGATCATCTCAGACCCCCGAGAATCAATGAAAGAATAAAGCATTAGATCTGAAACGATTGGAACAAAAGACTGAATGGAAGCCATGTGCGAGGAGAGATTCATCCTGGCATGGTGTGGCCCATTGGAGGCAATGCAGGCAGTGTTTCTGGTGAGGAACACAAGGCAATTTCATAGTCGCCAGTAAGGTGTCTGCACTGAGTAAACAAGTCGAGGGTGGAGCACGGTAAGCAGAACATCAACAAGCGTAAAGGAATGAATATTCAAGAATGTGAGCAAGACACATTTTAACCTAAATGTAAATAGAAATGGACTTCTTCATGAAACAAATCCCAATCCTATAGAAACTGTAAACCTTTATTGGCGCAGATAGTCTCATCTTTTCCCTAAGGCTGTTCAGTTTGAAGTGCTGACTTTGTTGTTAGCAGTTCAAAGCTTATTCCACTGTCCCACTTTATAGTCATAGTAGACTTTAGGCCACTGTCTTCAGTGAAGGACAGAACAACTAGAAAGACAATCAGCAAAAATACAGAAGAACGAAACAATACAACCAGATTGCTCTCTCAGATATATGAGGAGCATCCAAAAGATAATGGAACAATTTCCTTGTCTTTTAATTCTATTTTTTCCACAGGTGTTTAAAGCACCACACTTATATATCAAACACATGCAACAATACCATTCTCCAGAATAGACCATATGTTAGGCCACAAGCTAGTCTCAATAAATTATAAAAGCATTGAAGTAATACAGTGCATCCTTTCAAATCACAATGCTACAAAGTTAGAAACCAATAAAGCCAAACAAACCACTTGCCATTGAGTCCTTGTCTCTCCCCATAGGACAGGTGAACTGCTCCCTCTTTGTCCTGCAGATCAGTTTGTTAGTTGGAACCACTGCCATGTGGGTTAGCAGCTTTGTGCTGAACCCACTGTGACATCAGAACTTCCTGGCATGGTGTGGCCAAATCATTAACAGGGAGAAAGACATTAAATGTATGGAAGCTGAATAACCTGCTTTAAAACTACTGGGTAATGAAGAAGAAAAAGAAGCTGAAGTGGAAAGCAAATGTTTTGAGAATAATAAGAGCAATGAATGTACAAATGTGCTTTACACAATTGATGTATGTATGGATTGTGATAGGAGGTGTATGAACCCCTAATGAAACAATTAAAAAAAGAAAGAAAAACATCTAGAATCAAATGAGAAAGGCATACCAACCTTTGGAACACAGCAGAAGAAGTCAATGTATAGCAATAACCGTACACATTAAAAAAAAAAAGCAGAAAGAGCTAACGTCAATGCCCTAATCTAACTATTTTAACAACTAGTAAAGAACAACAAAATAAGCTCTTAGTCACCAGAAGAAGGGAAATTAAAAATTTAGAACAGAAGTAAATGAATAAACAAAACAAAAAGATGGTATTAAGAATCATTAGGGCAAGAAGTTGGTTGTTTAAAAACATTGATAAAATGACAAGGGATTGGCTATTTTAATAATGGAAAAGAAGAGAAGATGCGAATAAGATGAATCTGAAATGAGATGGATGACATTACAAAACCAGCTGGAATATAGCAGGGGCTCGTAATAATGTGACGGACTCTATATCAACAAACTGAGACTTTAAAAACTAGACAAAACTCTAGAAGTGCGGTTTACCTAAACTAAACAGTCTGAGGTAGAAAATTTGAATAGATGCTAAGAAATAAAGACTAACAATAACAAAAAAAAGTCCTGACACAGATGACTTCACTAGAGACTACTACTAACATTTCCACATTAATCTTATGAATCAAGCATCAGCTATACTGACACCAGGTAAAGACACCACAATAAAAGAAAATAATATACCAATACCCCTCATGATCATAGCACCAAAGGTAAATATTATTACATTTCCAATCAAGTACTAAACATTAAAAAGAAACAAAAATACTTTACGAGTGCATATGTAGCTCGATATGCCAGTTGAACAGGTATGACATGCTATATGGTAGTACAGTTATGAGCATATCAGGTTTCATCAAGGCTATTTCTATATAAGTACCTTTGCTACAAATATATTCATGTGTGTAGTATTGGCATATAATTCACAAATCATGTAATTTAATAGTTCATGATTCTTACACATGATTGGATTCATCTGTGAAATTTAAAAAATATTGAATTGTCTAGTCCCCACCTAAAACATATGTTAGGGCAGTGGTTCCCAACCTGTGGGTCGCGACCCATTTGGGGAGAGGGTGTCAAACGACCCTTCACAGGGGTCGCCTGATTCATAACAGTAACAAAATTACAGTTATGAAATAGCAACAAAAATAATTTTATCGTTGGGGGGGTCACCACAACATGAGGAACTGTATTAAAGGGTCGCGGCATTAGGAAGGTTGAAAACCGCTGCATGGGGGTGGGGTGGGGGGATAATCCAGGCCTTTTGTCTTTTTAAACTCCACAGAAACCTATAGATAAGTATGAGAAACTTTCTGACTAAAGATACATTTTTGTGGATGCTCAGTTTTTATATAACATTTTTAGCACAGTGTAACAAATATGTCCAAATATAAAATGAGTTCTGTTGATTTGTGTAAGTGTTGCACAACTATAAAAGAGATGTAAATTTGCCAATTACCAACAAAAGTTGAAGCTACTAAACTCAAGTAGTCATTATTGTAATGAAATGGCTTGTTTCCTGTCTTCCTTTGCCCTCCTGAGTGCTTTCCCGCGTGGTTCTCATATGGTGTGCCCTGTGAGAACAGTGACACAGGAGCAGTAGTTTCCCCTTTTTAATGTACTGTTCTGTTTTGTGATTTCATATTCTGAATCCCTACTTAGTAGCAGGTTTTTATGAGGCTAACATACGTACTGTATATATTCAGTGCCCAAGTGAATTTTCATTATTTGTCCTGTTGCGTAGTCTAGTTCACTAAATGTACATTGATGCTTTACATGATATGGACACATTTATCAATTACATCTCTTTTCATTTTTGTAAGTAGTTTGCTACAGTTAAAGTATTTTTATCTATTGCAATGATACTCAAAAATACAAACATTGACAGTAAAGATTGTGTGGCAATATTCCGTTTTAGCTGTTAAGATGTCATCGTGATTAGAAGGGACTTCTAGGTGTATAAAAGCATTACAAGACAATTATTGGGGAAAAAAGATCCTCATAGGCAAATTTCAGGTGACTCCTTAAGAGTCATCTTCTATTCCCAAAGTTAGAAACACTACTATAAAACATTTTAACATTGTTTATTACTCTTTCTGAAAACCTGCTTCTGGAAGTGGAGAAATTAATGAGAAGGGCATTGGAGACTGTGGCTATGCTTAGGAAGGAATTTCAGAATCAATCAACTAATTTTACATCCACACCAAATAAGATTATATAATATCACAAAATCGCATCTACTCCCATGGCTTAGATTCTGACTCGTAGCTGTCCTTACAGGGTTTTCTAAGACTAAACATTTTTTTAGATTACTGTATTAATGAATTCCAAAGTTCAGTCACATCCAGCAGAATTGCACATTTGCTACCAGAGTTAGTTTCCAGACATTCCTTTCTGCATAGACTCCTTGACAGCGTCTCTCCTTCACCCTGCCACCGCCACTGATCATTGCTGTTGTTTCTAAAAAATAGATATGATGATGCTGTACAACTCTATGACCGAATTTTACAAGAAGATCCAACTAATACTGTAAGTTAGCTGATTGCCTTAATGATAATAAAGTTTAAGAAGTAAAATTAATTTACAGTAGTAGAAAAATACATATGGAAACAGTTGTCTTTGTGTTTTGTTTTCTTGCCTTATTTTCATTTTAATAGATTTTGGAATTTGTATATCTAAATATTACTAATGAGTTGAAATTGGTGTTTGTATGATTTTCTCAGTCTTAAATATCCTCATAGATTGCCATTTATCTTAAAACAATACCTTTATAAGAAGCTTGATTTTTTTTCTAAATATTTTCTCACTTCCATTATAAGATCATAGTTTCAAAGGTGCCCATTTTCATTTAGTCACATATAAAAAGTGCTGAAATAATTTCTAAAAACATTTTGAGTTTCATTAACCGTTTGAGTTTCATACCATGTTAAAAATCAGTAGTCATTTATTGTCTTAGGATTAGTAGGCAAATATTTTACTTTTGGCTCAGTTTGAGTTTAGAGTATTTTGGACATTATTTTGCTTCTTCAGAATCTAAGATAAGAGATAATAATTTTGTGTCTTTATAGTACTTCCTATGTTTTATGACTTTCTATGACAAAAAAATACCCTAAATCCACGGTCATCCATTCAATTCCAACTCATGGAGACCTTGTTATATAGGATTTCTGAGGTTGTAAACCCTTATGGGAGCAGATGGCCTCATCTGTTTTCTGAGAAATGGCAGGTAGGTTTGAGACTTTAAAAAAGAGTCATTAGAGTATATGTCGGGGTAATGACCAAATCCCTTAGTGATTGGCTGAATATGAGAACGAAGTGACTAGATTCAGCACCGCCAAGTTTCTTCTACCAATGTTAATCGAGTAGTTGTGATAAGCCACCAAGTGTTTTTGGCTGATACTGTATCAGCATCTACATCCTGAAAGCACTCTGCTTGACATTGAGGGGAGTAACAAAGCCGTAAATGATGTAGAACTAATTTGCCTTAAAGATAATAAAGATAATAAAAGTCAGGTAGGGGAAGGATTTACTTATACTAAACAGTTGAGTTACTGCATGGAAGACATAATGGTTTCTTCTTCCCTCGAAGGTAAGTCCAGCGTCACCCTCACCCATAGTTTTATACTGTTGTATGTTATCTAAAATTGACCTATGCTCCTAATATCTGATTGATGTTATTTATTCAAGCACTGATTTAAAACTCCCTTTCCCACTCACATGCCTTCATTATTCTTTCCAAAAACATTTGTTGAATGTTTGCAATGTGCTTGGTGGGGCTAAGTCTAAAGAGAAATGAGACATCATCCTGTGACTTTGCTGTTAGGGACGTGGCATGATACAATGAACAGACTATGGACTTTGGAATAGAATTCATAAATCCTGATTCTGGCTACTTGCTGTGTGAGTTTTGAGCTTTGTATACTTGAATGTGGTTTAATGAAACATATGCCGGGTAACCACTGACGAGAGAATAGCATGTACATGCCTTACCATTACGAAAGCACAGGCCTTCTGACAGGAGACGACTGAGGTGATCACAGTGGCATTTTTCAGAATTTCTTTTTGTACAGAATCACTTATGGCAGTAAGGAGCTCTAGTGGCAAAGTGGTTATAAGTGGGGCTGCAAAACACAAGGTCAGCAGTTTGAAACCACCAGCCACTCCACTGGAGAAAGACTAGGCTTTCTACACCTATAGGGCAGTTCTGTATGAGTCAGGTATGAGTCAGAATTGACTCACTTGCCGTGAGTTTGGCTTGATGTTTCTCCTAGTAACTAAAAGGTAGAAACAACCCAAATGTCCGTCAACAGATCAGTGGATAAACAAAAGTTGGTAGATAAATGCAAAATAACCAAACCCACCATCATGAAGTCGATTTTTAGCTCATAGCGACCTTTTACAGAGTTTCTAAGACTTTGGAAATAAAGTCTCAACTTAATTTGCATTATTTCAGATTGCTTTTACAAAGTTTATAGACACATGTAAGATGGGAATTAGAAATTTGGGGCCCTATTTCTAATTCTTTCTACTCTGATCCATTTAAGTTGTTAAAAACCTTTATTTTCCATCATTTACAAAAAGGTAAAACATCAATTATGTTGTGTTTGTTTTTTAAGTCCATTTTTAAGGAATTTTTTGTTCTTGAAACCCTTTAGAGCAATTTTGGCAAACTATATTGTGCAAAGTCCTGCTGTTCTGCAAATGTTACTGTTGCTCAACAGAGGAGGAATGATTCTGTGGCCAGATAACTTGGAGATGCTGACTTAAGAAAAACCCAAAGCAAACCGTGCTATCAAGTCAATTCAGACTCTCACTCAATCCTGTACAGTTTCTGAGGTTGTAAAATCTCTCTCTAATAAAGTGACTGGGATTTGACCCTCTGACCTTTCAGTTATGGTGTTTGGGCGTTTTTGTTTGTTTCTTTTTTTTCTCTTTTTCAGTATATCCTTTAGCAAACTCATTGTGCATAAATGTGTCTTATCATGCCTCTGATCGTGAGGTGTCAATGGGATCAAGTATCAGGCACAAAAGACCCAAAACAAAAAGTCATATCAATGTGAATGAGGGGGAGGGTGGAGTGGAGACCCAAAGCCCATTTGTAGACAATTAATATCCCATCACAAAAGGGTCACAAGGGAGAGCCAGTTAAGGTATAGTATATCACCGATGAAACATACAACTTTCCTCTAGTTCTTTAATGCTTCCCCCTGCCCCTCCACTATCATGACCTCAATGCTACCTTACAAATCCAGCTAGACTAGAGCATGTACATGGGTACAGATAAGAGCTTGGAACACAGGGAATCCAGGAGAGATAAAACCCTCAGGGCCAGTAATGAGAGTAGCAATACCAGGAGGGAAAAGGGAAGGTGGGGTAAGAAAGGTAAAATGGATCACAATGATTGACATAAGCCTCTCCCAGGGGGATGAACAATAGACAAGTGGATGAAGGGAGGCAGCGGTCAGTATAATACATGAAAAAATTTTTTTATAAATTATCAAGGGTTCATGAGGGAGGGAGGGTAGTGGAGAAATGAGCTGATAAGGGCTCAAGTAGAAAGAAAATGTTTTCTAAATGATGATGGCAACATATGTATAAAGGTGCTTGACACAATGTATGTATATATGAATTGCGATGAGTTTTAAGAGCCCCCAATAAAATGATTTTTAAAAAAAGGTGATGGCAACATAGGTACAAATGTGCTTTACACAATTGATGTATGGATTGTTAAGAGGGCTGTAAGAGTCCCGATAAAATGATTTATAAAAATTTTAAAAACGTATTAGTTGCTTTTTATGTTTTTATGGGTCCAATTTGTAGTGTTTCAAAAGCCATGTTTTCACTGCAACTAGATACATTTTTTTCCCGGCGCAATCACTATGAGCATGGGCCAAGGCATAAAGATCAAGTTGTGAGCATGTGCCAGTTGTCTAACTCATAATGAAAGATTCGTAGCAAGACTTCCTACATAAATATTGAGTATAAATGAAAGAAGGAAGGTAACATCTATGAATTATTAGTTATAAAATTGGTGCATACATCGTTGTATGCCATTAGTTAATTGTGGTGCGAAATGTCCCTCT